TGGAATGGGCGGGACGCACCCCGGGCCCGGCTACCCGCGTGAGCAGGGAGGCTCCCCGGCCGTCGTCCTGGCACCGCGGCCCCCTCCTCTCAGCGGGGCGGACACAGCCCCCTTCCCCCCAGGCTCGGGCTTCTTGCCTGCCTCATTAATAAAGCGGATAAAATCTAAACACTGGAAAATGTGAGCCTCGCCCGGGGCAGGCTGGGGTGGCTGCAGGGGGTGCCGCCGTCCCCCTCCCCGGGGCTTTGGGGTCGGGGGCCTCACCCTGCGTGCGTGGGGGCAGCAACGCGCCCCTGCCCAGCCAGAGCCTTCTGGGCGTTGGGGTGGGTGCTGGCGGGCTGTGCCTCGGTTAGCCGGGCTTGGGTCAGGCCCAGCTTGGCCAGGCGACCCGCCTACTATTTACCCAGGCGCTTAAACCCAGGCTAGCCGAGTCATACCTTGGGAGGGGACGGGGAGGAGGCTGCAGGGGACAGGGGAGCCTGGAGAGTTTTCCTCAGCATCTGTAACACCCGGGCGCGGGTCCGGAGCCACATAGACAATCCTCCCTTAATCCTGGGCATGCAGCTGTGGCCTCAGCTGCCCTGAAAAACAGGGTCACACGCCTGGGAGGTACACACAGCCTGATCACACCTGAAGACACACTATTACCTGCCACCTTGAGACCCGGTCCCACACCCCTGAACTTACTCAGGGAGTCCCACCCACAGCGCCCGAGACACCCAGTTACTGACTCTTAACACCAGCCACCTCCCTCAATACCTGACGTGCAGTCCCCTGAGATGACCCCCATCACACCCCTTAGTGCTAAGAAACAGACACCTGGACACACACACATCCCTTACCTTGGAGGGCACCACGGCCACTCCATGTCACCTGGAGACCCCCAGCAACACAAGAAAGGGCCTCACGGGCACCCTCTGTTCACCCGACATGAGGGGTACCCCTGAACACCCCAGAAAAACACTCTGAAACAAGCCCCTGGACACCCCAAGATGCAGCCAGCCATCCCCACCCAGATACAGCAACACTCTGAGAGAGACACCTACACCCCTGAACACCCCAGGTGCCAGTCACACCCTGGACACCCTAAGACACTCTTATCACACTCCCCACCCCCAGGCACTGCCAGTGACACCCACGAACACCCTGGAACACAGACACAGTCGTCAAGTCCCTTACAAGAGACACAAGTTACAGCCCTCCCTTGGCATGGTCACAAGCCCTCGACGCTCCCATTCACCCTTCACCACCAGAGCAGGCTTGGAGCACCAACGCACAGGGACCCACAGGTGCCCCTGTAGCGGCCACTCCACCCCACTTCCACAGCAGGACCCAGGCCTGCCATGAACACCAGCCCAGGGGTCCTCTCTTCCCCACTCGGTGGTCCAGGGCCCCCGCCTCATGGAGACAGGGGTTGCAGGCCGGGTTCAGAGGTCCCTCAGCCTCTTGACTGGTCCCAACATTCCCACAGGGGCCTCTGGCGTGGCTCCCCTCACTTCAGTCCTCTCGCTTCCCTCCAGGTCTGGCCAGGGTCCCGCCCCCCCTCCCTGATCCCCTCAATCCTCCAGGATGAAGCGAGTTGTCAAAACAAGCACTCTGGGTTTATGTCCAGGGCGAAGCATCGGGCCTCACAGACGCCTGTGTGTCCGGCGTCGGGTGCGGTGGGGCGGGGGTTGCATCATGACCCGCCCAGCCCCAGCCGGCCTGAGATTCCATTTTTGTTTCTCCAAGCCAGGACTCAATGCTTTGGTGCCCCCCGTGGCCTTGGGTTGTCACTGGCTGCAGATGACAGCCTCAAGCCCACCATTCACATGCTCTGGCATTTGAGAGGGGGCTGGATTGGAACCCTCAGAGGCCAGGAAGCTCTAGCCTTGCCTGGAAGCCCGGTGGCCTGGGGCCAGGAGGGATAATGGGAGGGGGGAGGCAGCCCGGGCCAGCTCCTAATTCAATTTGGAGCCAAGGAAGACAGATTTCAGCTGTTGCATTCTTTCCCAGCCTGGCCCATCCCTCTCTCACCCTGAGGCACACAGGTCCCACAGCAGATAGATTCTTTATGTTCAAGACAGCAAATTCAGATACAAAAGCCTCCCACAGCCCCCATGCTCTCCTGCTCAGTCAGGGAGGGCCCTGGTGGGAGGGATGGGGGTGGGGCGGAGTCTAGGGGTTCACAGCAGACTCGTTTCCAATGCGGAGGTAACAGACTCCACTGGGAGGGGGCTCCTCTCAGGAGGGGGGAAGGGCATTATTGCATTTGCTGGGGGGCGAAAGCCCCCCCCTTCTGCATTCCCTGCGTCAGGAAACTAGGAAGGTCACAACTCCCAACAGAACCAAGGCCCCAGGGAGACAGAGGGACCAGTTTGGCAGCTGATGGTGGAAAGTGTCCCGGGTGGGGGTGGCTCCCCAGTGTGGCCAATCCCTCCCTGCGCCTGACCCGGCTGAGGTAGGTGGGGAGCAGGGGAGGGCGCCGAGGATCCCAGCCAGACTGGGAGCCAGGGAGAGGGGTGGTACCGATTGGAGCGGGGCAGGGGCCCGGGCCTGCCGCCCCTCCGCATGGCATTGCCCTTGATGGCTGAGCTGGGCCCAAGCTGGACGCCTGGGTCCCCGAGCCATGGCGTCTCCTCTGGGAGCCCCCACCAGGCTGTGCCCCGGTCATCTGGCGAGGTCCAGCAGTAGTCCTAGTAGCGGCCGACCTTGGCGTCACCGATGGCGCCCCAGACGTCAAAGACGAACTCGTCGGGGAAGGCAAAGTCACCGAGGCGCTCGTCTAGGGCCTCGGCCAGCTCATCTGGGTTTCTTTTGTCCTTCCCCAGCTCTACCATGGTGGCCGCTTTTGGGGGAGGGGACAGAAGGCACCAGGGTCAGAGGGGCTCAAGGTGGACTCGGAACCAGCTGACCAGAAACCCCCCAGGAGTCCCACACTCACCTAGCTCTGTATCCCTGATGCCCATGTAACTTTCCAGCAGGTCGTCCACCTTCTCGATGGCCTTCTCCTCAAAGGCGGAGGGCTGGGGTGGCGGGGACAGGGACAGTGACATCATAAGAACATGAACGCACATGGTAACTGTGCTGACTGCATGCCAGGCGCCCCTGGCACCAGCTCACATATATTCAGATTTAGTCCTCACGACAACCCTGAGAAGAAGGTATCGTATTATCATCATCCCCATTTCACCGATGGAGAAACTGAGGCCCACTTGCCCAGGAGGACGTCTGGGTGCTGGCAGAAGATGTGAGTCCAGGCCGTCTGCCCAGAGCCCCTCAGCTAACAGGTAACGCTAAGCCCTGGGAAAGCGCAGGGAACGGGCCTCTGGCTGGAGCACTCACCAGGTCCTCCACGGTGGCAGGGCCGCGGGATCGGAGCCGGAGGGTCCCTCGGCCGGTGCCCAGCTGTGGGCCGGAGCCAGGGCGGCCACCCCCTGCGCGCTGGCTGATCATGTCTGTGAAGGCAGGGAAGGGGTGAGGGGAGACGCCTGCCCTCAGCACGCGCCGGGCAGGAGCCGCCCCTCCACTTCTCCATGCGTGGGGCTTGGGGCTGAGGTGTCCCTGGAGGGCGGGACCCCTGCCTCCCTGCGGGGCTGACGACAGGGCCAGGGACCAGGACAGATGGGAGGGGAGCTGGAGGGGCCGCTTCTGCTCCCAGGGGCTGGGGGCGCGAAGCCGAGGGGTCCCGGGCTCCTCTCGGCCAAGGGGTACGGCTGCCGGCCCAAGGCCAGCCCTGCCCGCCAGGGAAGTGACTGAGTCCCCCACCCCCACGCAGGGGCCTCGGGCCCATTCCTGAGAGTCAGTGAAGCC